GATGGACGCGAGGGAGCGGAGGGAGAGAGAGAGAGAGAGCAGAGAGAGAGAGAGAGAGAGAGAGAGAGACAGAGAGGAGATGAGAAGCAAGAGAGATTGCCAGAGATGGCAGAGAGAGAGCAAGAGAGAGAGGAGAGAGAGAGAGAAGAAAGAGAGAGAGAGAGAGAGGAGAAGAGAGTGGAGAGAGAGAGATGAGGTGAGAGACAGAATGGAGGAGAAAAAGGGGGTCAGCAGAAGAGAGAGAGCGAGAAAGAGAGAGAGAGAGAGAGAGAGAGAGAGAGAGAGAGAAGAGAGAGAGAGAGAGAGAGAGAGAGAGAGAAGAGAGAGAGAGAGAGAGAGAGAGGAGAGAGAGAGAGAGAGAGAGAGAGAGAGAGAGAGAGAGAGAGAAGAGAGAGAGAGCAGGAGAGAGAAGAGAGAGAGAGAGAAGAGAGAGAGAAGAGAGAAAGGAGAGAGCAGAGAGAGAGAGAGAGAGAGAGAGAGAGAGAGAGAGAGAGTGCACGCGTATATGTGAGATGTGGATCTTTGGATATATGGGCAGCCAGAACATACACGTGGTGGAGGAGGCCTATGTGTCCATACCTTCCTGAGCTCCTCCCTCCCTCCCTCCCTCTCTCTTTCTTTCTCTCACATGCTTTTTCTTATAATTCTTACACACAGCATATCATTTTGTCTCGATACACAGAGCCTGATCAGATTCTGCGTATCAGATATTTAAATCTTAGAGTAAGAAAAATAGAAATACTAATATAGTAGAAGATATGAATTCGTTGTGAATTCGAACGCGACTCCAACGCGGGCTCGCGCGTCCGCACACGCCTCGCGACTTGGAAGCTCCCACTTACTGAGAGCGAGAGAACACGCAGCCTGTCGTGTCAGAAAGTTCTGCACGTCAGAAACTTAAATCTTTTAGTACAGTAACATACATCACTAGTAATATTACAAACATAACACAGGGTTTCTTCTGAGGGGAAATTAGACAGAGGAGGTAATGGCCAGTTTTGGGAAAAAACGCGCATGATGGATTCAAATACAGGATGTACTGATATACTTATAGGTATATAGATACAGGATATACTTATCAGTAAATACAGGATGTATTGATATACTTATAGGTATATAGATACAGGATATACTTATCAGTAAATACAGGAACATTTTCACAATGGCGATGTTAAATTTGACAACGGCGGTGCGCGACTGTGCCACCTATGTATAAGAAACCCTGTAACATATATACGGTCATCTGCGGCGACTCTGCCGCAAACAACTTGCCTCACAACACGAAACTCCCGGCACGCTTGCTGTTTGCAGACGGAGAGCGAGAACACGCAGCTGGGCGCGTCGCTGCAGGAATGGCGGGCGAAGGCGGAGCACGCGAGCACCCAGCTGTCGACGCAGCAGGAGAAAACCTGCAACCTCATGCAGCTGCTCGCCGACATCCAGCCGAGCGGCGAGCGGCTCCCCCTGGTGGACGACGACGAGGAGGGCGATGACCTCGACGACCTTGACGACGCCGGGAAGGAGATCCGTCGGCTGACGCGGCTGATGCGGCTGACGGAGAAGGAGCGCGCGCTCGCCCGCACGCAGATCGCGCGGCTCGAGGAGGAGGTGAAGGCGCTGCTGGCGAAGAGCGGCGTCGACGAACACACGAAGGAACAACGCGACGGGTTCGTGAAGGACCTGCAGGACGACTTCACGATGATGAAGAACAAGGTGAGGGAGGGAGTTCGTTAAGGATGCGACGTTGGTTGGCGATGGTTTGTGTTTACGAACGAGGTTACGAATGAATGAGGTGCGACAGAATTTGCAAAATATTAATTATGAGCATCAAATTAATTTAAAGAATAAATGAAATTATAGAAAAGCGAGGCAGAATTTTTCCACTGGCTGAAAATTATGGGAAATTGTAATTTATGTGATAATTAATTGATGTCGATAATTATTAAAAACTAAATACATTTTCATAAATGGTGCATAACTAAATAATAAGAACGAACGTAATAATAGAAAAACGAAACGCTACAAATCATGTGTAACTAAATAATAATAACGAATGTAATTGTAATACTATTAATGATGTGTAACTAAATAATAACAACAAACGTAAATAACACGAACGCATACGAAACACAATAAATACTAACGCCTCCCTCTCTCACCCTCTCTGCCGACAGTTGATCGAGTACGAGGAGAAGGTGCGCTACCTGGAGGAGGACCTGCGCACGATGGGGGAGGTCGCGGGGGAGACGCAGTCGTGCCTCGAGCGCACCTACGGCGAGCTGTCGTCCGTCAGCGACACGATCGCGCAGCTCTACCACCACGTGTGCCTCGCAAACGGGGAGGTGCCCAGCCGCGTCGTCCTCGACCACATACGCGCCAAGGGCGGCCTCCTCGGCAGCCCCACAGAGGGCGCCGCCGTCGGCGCGGTCGTCGAGGACGCCGCCGCCGCCGAGAATCTCCAGGTTGAAGCCGAGGCGAAGACGGAGGTGAAGACGGAGGGGGAGGAGGCGGCGGCGGCGACGGAGAAGGAGGGGGAGGAGGAGAGGAAGCGGCGCCTCGCCCCCGCCGCCTCCTCCGCCGCCGCGGACCCGCGCGCCTGCCACAAGCTGCTCGACACGGTGCGCGACCAGATGCGCCACCTGGCGGCCGCCGTCGGGCACGCGCTCGACGGCTCGCGGCGGCGTCGCACCGTCGCCGCCGACGACGACCTCCAGGAGCAGATCCTCAAGCTGAAGGCGCTTCTGTCGACGAAGCGCGAGCAGATTGCGACGCTGCGCACCGTGCTGAAGGCGAACAAGTCGACGGCCGAGGTCGCGCTCGCCAACCTGAAGGCGAAGTACGAGAACGAGCGCGTCGTCGTCACGGCGACGATGCTGAAGCTGCGCGGCGAGCTGCGCGCGCTCAAGGAGGACGCGGCGACGTTTGCGTCGCTGCGCGCGATGTTCGCGTCGCGCTGCGAGGAGTACGTCGCGCAGCTGGACGAGCAGCAGCGCGCGCTCGTCGGCGCCGACGAGGAGAGGAAGACGCTCAACTCGCTGCTGCGCATGGCGATACAGCAGAAGCTCGCGCTCACGCAGCGGCTCGAGGACCTCGAGTACGACCGCGAGCAGAGCCACCTGCGGCGGCAGACGCGCCGCGTCGTCGCGGCGACCACGGCGACCTACCTGCGTACCTGTAGCTATAGGCTCACCTGCGCACGCACACCTGCGTACCTGTAGCTAAGGCTCACCTGCCTGGCGGCGCCGTGCGATAATTAATCGTCGTCTGCCGTTTCCCGAAATGCGCGCATTATGGCCTAGGGCGGCGTCCTCCGCTCGGCCGTTACCTGTCGTCTGCGGCGGCGGTGGAGGCAGCGGCCGGCGGCGGACGTTGCCCCGCGGCTTGCGCGCGTGTGTCGTGTGAAGGAAGGTATGCGAGAGAGAGAGAGAGAGCGTGCGTGTACGTGAGTGAGTGAGAGAGCAAGAGAGAAAGAGATAGCGTGTGCGTGAGTGAGAGAGCAAGAGAGAAAGAGAGAGCGTGTGGGTTGGTGAGCGAGAGTGATCGATTCACCAGTGGCTCAATGAAACCTTGCTGTCGGCACTTGTACACCGACAGACCGACAGACCGACCGACCGACCGACCGACCGTTCGATGATGTCTGTACGCGTGTTGTTGTATCCTCTGAGTTTGTTCGATGTCATGTGTTGAACAATAAAACCATGGATGTTGTTGAAGCTGCAATCTTTCTTAGTTTATTTTCGCCCCGCGGTGTTGCCTGATGTTCTGTAGTTTGCGCAATCCAATTAAATCGAACCCATACAGTTAACGTAAGCCTTGAGTTTGACACAAACCGTTGTGCAGGGGTCATGTTAACAAATCTGAATGAAATATACATACAGTTGACACTTGTTTTTGTCTCTTGTTTCAAGGCGTCTGCGGAGGGCAGCGGTCTTGTCAACAAACCCAAATGAAATATACATAACAGTTGACTTGTCTCTTGTTTCAATGCCTCTGTGGGGGGAGCAGAAGTCTTTAAGAAATATATATAAAATATACACACAGTTGACACTGTATCTCTCTCGTGTTTCTCTCTCGTTTCAACGCCACCGTCATGGTAACAGAGCTAAGATGAATGAAAAAAACGAATACACACAGTTAGGTCTAAGTTTGTCTCCTGTTTCAACGCCACTGCGATACAGAGAGCGAGCAGCGGGTGGGTGGTTGATCGTAAACAAGCGTGCCGCGTGCAGTGTGGCATGCTGTCAAAATGCTGCGGGTTCACGGCCACCTATACGACTTCAGCAGTGAAGCTTGTTTACGCACATCCTCCCTGCGAACACGCACATCCATGTGTTAGTCACTCACCTCTACACCGCCACCTGCCGCCGCCGCCGCCGGCGCTTCCCCGCCGACGATCTCCGACATTCACTTGCGTCCGTCGGGGCGAGCCGCGCACGTGTCTTCGCCCCCTGCTGGTCGCGGCGGCGGCGGCGCGACGCCCGCGCGATCCCGCTGGCGCCAACTAGCAACGAGTACGAGTCGAACGGTTACTATTCTC